TCCCGCCAGACACCCTCTTTAATTCCTGTGGCTTTTCCCGCAGCAACCTTCCCGCCAAAAACGGCCTCTCCCGCCGAAAAATGGCTTTTCCCCGTCAAGACACCTTGTTGTTTGTTTGTTTTTGTTCGATTTTTTTTGTTGTTCTTTTTTTTTTTTGATTTTTTTTTTTTTTTGGGATTTTTGATGTTTTGGTGTTTTGTTTTTCCTGGGGCTTTCCGGCCAAGCAGGGGCTGGGGACCATCTCCAGCTTTCCCGCCAAGGACAGTTAGGGCCAGATCCCACTGTCAAATAACGGCGTTTCCCGCCAGACACCCTCTTTAACTCCTGTGGCTTTTCCCGCAGCAACCTTCCCGCCAAAAACGGCCTCTCCCGCCGAAAAATGGCTTTTCCCCGTCAAGATACCTTGACTTCCTGCGTTTTTTTGTTTGTTTGTTTGTTGTTGTTTTTTTGTTCGTTTTTTTTTTTTTTTTCCTTGGGATTTTTGATGATGTTTTGTTGTTTTGTTTCTTTGTTTTTTTGTTTTTTTGTTTTTCCTGGGGCTTTCCGGCCAAGCAGGGGCTGGGGACCATCTCCAGCTTTCCCGCCAAGGACATTTAGGGCCAGATCCCACTGGCAAGGACGATTGGAACAAGTGTCTGAATCTGGACGTGTTCCACGCAGAGATGCAGAAAAGCAGATCAATCACAGTTTTCTGCACCTCGCCACAAACACGTCCAGATTCAGACACTCGTTCCAATCCTCTTTGCCAGTGGGATCTGGCCCTTAGACCTCTTCTGTCCATCGACCACTCCTGTGGCCGCGACCAGCTCGACGGTTCTGTTGGCGGTCGTTCGCGGCCGACCGGGAAACCAGGCCCCACTACCGGTCTTCCCCCACGAACGCTAGGCAGTGAAATGCGCCCTCATCATGACCGTATGGGGCCGAAAACCTAGCTTGTATACATCCATGGCTATGTAGGTCTCTCCTTACTGTACACCAACGCTGTCAATTCTAAATTAATTTAATTAATTCATATTTGAAAAAATTGCTAAATGCGGAAGTTTGGTGTTCGTACATGGCTCCATACCTCACTTTTGTGTATGCATCTCCACGTAATTACGTCCAAATACAGTCAGGAAACTCCGATAGGTACTTTGCATATGCGGTCACACGGCCAACCCGCCCGTCTGCATCCATGTGCTCGAGATAGTTTTTTTTTTTTTTTTTTTTTTTTTTT